TTCCGGTATGTGTCTCACCTGTCTGTCTCTGTCTACCATGTGTGTCTCTCACCTGTCTGTGTCTCACCTGTCTGTCTCTCACCTGTATGTGTCTCCCCTGTCTGTCTCTCACCTGTCTGTGGCTCACCTGTCTGTCTCTCACCTGTCTGTGTCTCACCTGTCTGTCTCTCACCTGTCTGTGTCTCACCTGTCTGTCTCTTACCTGTCCGTCTCTCAGGATCAGAAAGGGGGGTTCCAGAGAGACAGTCAGCCGGTGAGGCGTCTCCAGCTCAGAGACTCTGACAGCGCTCAGGTAACATCAACACACCTGTAACCATTCATAACACTGATAATACTGATGAATAACGTGTGTGTGTGTGTGTGTGTGTGTGTGTGTGTGTGTGTGTGTGTGTGTGTGTGTGTGTGTGTGTGTGTGTGTGTGTGTGTGTGTGTGTTGCCACGGTAATAGAAGCTGCAGACTGTGATCTCCGAGGCTCAGGTGAGGCAGCGGCAGCACAGCATGAAGAGGCAGAAATCACAGCGCTTCCTGCAAGTCAAGCAGTGACATCACTTCCTGTTTACACACCATCCCGATCACAAACACTGAATCTGAAGACGATGTCTGCAGGCTCACTGTCAGGGTTAATATGATGTGGGGGGGTTTTGTCCCTGCTCTTTGTCTGCAGGCTCACTGTCAGGGTTAATATGATGTGGGGGGGGTTTGTCCCTGCTCTTTGTCTGCAGGCTCACTGTCAGGGTTAATATGATGTGGGGGGCTTTGTCCCTGCTCTTTGTCTGCAGGCTCACTGTCAGGGTTAATATGATGTGGGGGGCTTTGTCCCTGCTCTTTGTCTGCAGGCTCACTGTCAGGGTTAATATGATGTGGGGGGGTTTTGTCCCTGCTCTTTGTCTGCAGGCTCACTGTCAGGGCTAATATGATGTGGGGGTTTTTGTCCCTGCTCTTTGACTGCAGGCTGTCAGTTGTAAAATGAAGCCATGAAAACATGTTGCACTATACTAATGAATATTCCTCGTCAGATAATTAAAGAGATGTGTTCTATGAAAATATACAATCTGATTGTTAATGATCAATAAATGAAGTTCCTTGCTGTTTACAAACTCAATCACTGTCTTTATTTAGTAATCCTGAAACCAGAACACTGTTTGTGTCCTGATGATGTTTAAATGTTTGTGATGAGAGCGAGACAGCTGTGTGAGTAAACATTGAAGGTAGACCCTCTGCTGCAGTGCGCTGGACTCTGTTTCTCCCCCGACCGGGTCAGATGGACTGAAGACATTCAGAAGACACTCACTAAACTGTGTTATGACTCCTCTGAGCAGTCTCCAGGTGAGTGTTGACTGGACCTGTGTCTGGGGTTGTATAAGTACATATTAAATAATGTATATATATTAAGCTGACCACCAGACCTGCGGGAAAGAAGAAGAATGAAACAGACGTGGTCACTCGTGTTTAATGACAGTGAGATATTCATTTTACAAAGAGTGACGTGTATCAGATTAAAGTTTCTTAAGTACATGTGCTTTAAATATCTGTCCTTCAGTAACTGAGATAACATACATCATTCATAATAACCAGTTCTTAGCGTCAGATTAAATATCTGTTCAGTTTAAAACTGTGACATCGCTGCAGGTTTCTCATTTCATCAGGTCCTGCAATACTGCGTAATACTTGGAGTATATTCTGTGGAAGAGCACTTCAAACTGGAATGTGTTTGTTTACAGGAGCTGGAATAAAGAGCTTCTTTTCCCTCTATTACGACAGCGTGGTCTGGGGGGGGGGGGNGGGGGGCATCTTTCTGTCCAGCTCCCAGTCCTCCTCATCATCATTCTCATCATCCTCCTACAGAGTTCATCAGATCAGCCCCCCACCCCAGCTCTGTTTAAAACATCTGCTCTCCTCGTAATAATAAAGTCTCTATAAAGACAGAGTTGTCTGCATGGGAGGGAGGGATCCATCTTTCTGCCCACCCCCTCATCATCATCAGAATTTCATCAAAGGTCCGGATCAAAGGTCCGGATCGAGGTCCAGATCGAGGTCCGGATCAGCGGTCCGGATCGAGGTCCTCGTACAGCAGGGAGCCGCTGAAGACGGTGAGCGGCTCCACAGAGTGGGCCAGCCTCCCCGTCACCAGGTCCACGCACACCGTGTCCTGGCTCTGCAGTGGCAGGATGAGGCTGAACACGGCCAGCGACCCGGGGGGGGTTCTGGTCTCGGCCACCGGGTTGTTCTCCAGGCCTTCGGGCTGGTAGCCTCCCGAGTCCACCCGGGCCATGCCGTAGTTGGACTTGGACAGAACCGCCTCGATCTTCTCGTTCTTATAACCCGTCAGGACGGCGCTGAAGAAGTAGTGTCCGTCTACGGGGGCCGTGAACACACCTGGTGATACACACTGCGGGTGTGTGTGGGTTGCTATATA